GCTTTCACACATCAGGAAAACTAAAACTCCATCAACGTGTTCACACTGGAGAGAAGCCGTACAGCTGTGATCAATGTGGTAAAGCTTTCTGTAAACCAGGTGACCTAAAAGTCCACAAACGTGTTCACACTGGAGAAAAACCATTCAGCTGTGATCAATGTGGGAATGCTTTCATTACATCAGGACAATTAAAAATCCACCTACGTGTTCACATGGAGAGAAACCGTACCACTGTGACCACTGTGAGAAAGCCTTTGCTCAATCACATCACCTAGAAAGCCACGGCGTGTTCACACTGGACAGAAGCCATACGGGTGTGACCAATGTGAGAAAGCGTTCCCTACATTAGGTGAACTAGTAAAGCACAGACGTGTTCACACTGGAGAGAACCTTATTGGTGTGAACAATGTGAAAAAACCTTTGCTCAGAGTAGTCACCTTAAACACCACAAACTTCGTTTTGAACATTTTTAACAGCCAAGCGAGCCGTTTCCTCTGCCCTGATAGCTGTGTTGTCTAATCTTTTCTACAAACTGAGAAACAGACAGTAACATTATATTCTGCGCAGAATGTTTGTTATTGTGGCTACAATTACATACTGGCTCCTGTTAGTTGTTCCTTGGCAATTTCCAAGCACGAATCGACAACTGGAGAAAGATCAAGAAGCACATTCACATCTGACACCAGAGAGCATCTGTCAACAGAGACAGAGGTTCTCTACCCAAATACAACCACCTGTTCTCATGTGACTGTCCCGGACTAGAGTCATGTGATGACAAACTAAGGAAGTTCAGTTTTCTTAAAGGGGACCTATATGCTTTTTCATATTTTCTAGCATTTCTACAATGTTACAATGTCAGATGTTCATATTAAACAGGACCAAAGCTTCAAATAATGAGGTGAAAGTATTAAAAGGAAATGCCTGTAAGCTAAATCCTCAGATATCCCCCTGATCGAACGCTCTGTTTTGAACTGTTTTTTCTACTAATGGCTCCGTATGATGTCATACCGAGCCAGATTTCCAAATATGGTAATTTGCTCCAGGCAGAGAATGCTGGCCACGCCCACAAAGGAACATGCAGACCTATCCCTGCAGCAACCTGGTAAACACATTAGACAATGGCCAATCGGAAGACAGTGGGCTTTGGGGAGGGCTGGGTCTCAAAGAAACAGCTTGTCTCAGACAGATACTGAGTCACAGAACTGCAATATGGGGCTGGAAATGCAGTATAACAGGCCATGGTCCAAAGGTCCAACATCGAGGTAATATGTGTGGCTTGAGTTAAGACTCATTTATTACAGATGTGTTCCCCAAGGTCAAGAATGAAACTCCACTCCTGATGAAATATTGTTTCTGTGAGCTTCATACATATTTTCTTGTTATTGTGTTATAGTTGAACATATTTAATCTTTATTTTGTCTGTATTTACGATTTGTCCTCTTTTGTTTATACAGTTGTGTCAATACTTTTCCTGTTATACAAACATCCTGACAAAGTTTTTCAGTAACTTCACATATTCCTCTCCAGATTATTTTAGATGTGTTAACTGTATACAGAGTAGTTATGTATTTCAATCTGTTGTTATTTTCTGGTGCTCAATGTGGTTTTTAATCTGTTCAGACTGCAATCAACACCAATTGTAGTCGAGGAGAGTTAATGATGGCGCCAGCTGAGGTGAAGACATTTCAGCTCAAGTCTGAAAGTTTTTGCTTACATGAAAAAGCAGTTTGAATAACTTTATTTAATGATTACGACGTTGTAGAGAAAGCTGAAGGACAGAACCAGATGCGAGCAGCAGCTAACGGGACAGAAGTTCTGGAAGTTTATTGACTCATTTCCGTTTTCCGTTCCGTGCTTGTGTGTATGTAGTGTGTTTTTTGCTCTAACTGAATACCAGTTAAATTTGTTACATTCGTCATTAGAGTGGCAAACCATCCGCTAGACATCGATCTGGGTTTTATGGGAATAAAGAGTACTAATGTGTGTGCATTCTAAAATATTACCCATTCAATTTTAGTAGCTGTTGTAGCTGGGTGATCAACTAAGAATTATTACGTAGATGACAACAGGAGCAAACACAAAGGAGGTGGCAGTATTTAAATGAGGGTTTTGCGTGTTTTAATGGTTTCCGCCATGGAGAGTCGGGAGGGAAAGCAGCCACTGCGTAAAAACTTTGGTTTGTTTTATTCAGTGCGTCCCAAGTTTGTTCCCTCTGGTTGGATGAATTTTACACGTGATCCATCCACTACTGCAGCTGAAGACTCCGCAGCGCCATGCAACTTTCTTAATTCTTCCATCTCACGGAGAAAAGAAGTCAGGTCGAAATGAAATTGGCTTAATTGGCATAAATATTAATACAACAGTATCGCCAAAGCTAAAGGAAAATACAATTCCATTCACATAGTTCATAGAATAAAAAAAATAAAATAATTGTATTTCTATAAATTGGATATAGAATAATATCTAATATTGTTAATTTCTCTACATTTTCTTTAATCACGGCTGTGTCTCCTGGCAACAATAACAGCAGCCATCTCTGCACACACACTTGGCGGTTTGCACCTTCCTTTCAAACGTATTAAATAGAGATGCTGTTGCACTCACATGAAATTGCGTTTAGGATTGGTAGATCCCATTGCGTGATGTAAATAAATGTATTTGCATGTTACCCTCCCATTACTTTGCAGAATAATATAAAAAAACTGCATAATCATTAAGGCAAAAGTAGTAACAGGTGCTATGTTGCACTTTTTAAAGACGCCATTCTGCGTGCACACAGTAGATCAACTGACATGTTAATTTGCTGGTGATATCAAGTTTGCACATGTTTTTATGAGGTGCCCCTAGGGACATTATTCAGAATTACCATGCATATACATGTACATTTCCTCTAACATACACATATGAAACCAAAGTCATTCACATACTGTACTGAAAAGCTCTCACACATACAAGTAAAATGCTTTTATACACAACTGAAACGCTCTCACACACACACAACTGAAACGCTCTCTCACACAAGTAAAATGTATGTTGTATAGAAGCATTTTGGTACGTTGTATGAGAGGATTTCAGTTGAACAGGAAGTTGTTTAAATAAAAGCACACATCTCACAATACAAGCGAACAACTGTTGATCGTACAATGGCATTATGGTTATTGCTTCTGAGCATCGGCGCATAGATTGATTTCTTCCAAAGTATATGCTCAATTTCAAACTAATCAGATAGGTCGGCTTTAGCCCACTGCTAGTTATCAAATGAATGAAAGAATTATCTGTACACTAAATAGTTTTGAAGCTCTATAGATGGTGTCATTTATTGTGACCTTTGAGTAGGTCTTGTGGATATTACATGTTTATTGGCTTACTGTATAGTGTTGTGAGGCAAAAGGGTGAAAAACGTTAACTGATAGAAAGCACATATTTGCTACAAGTGCATTCGATCAGCTGATTGTTTATTATTGCTCTGTGTGGGCTACTTGCCTGAGAATACCTCAGGAGTTTGCAACATTGCAATTAATGATGCATTTAGTGTGGTTAAAAATTTCCCCAGTCAGCAGGTCATTCTTTGTTTAAGCACTTTACCCAGTTTTGTTTGGATTTGTGCTCATTCTCTTGTCTTTAAACTAGACTTGCTGTATATGAGAGCAGCAAACAAGGCACTCTTCAAAACCTTCTCTGGCTCTAGTTGCTGAGTGTAAGGCTCCTATGTTATCTTCAAGTATAAGGTACAATGTTAAAAAACTGCATAACTATTTCGTCTTCTGACCTTTTCTGACCAAGGTCAGAAGACGAAACAGTATTTTCACTTTTCAACTTATACTAGACTGCTCTCCCTTAGAAAAAGAGTTAAGCTTTAATATTCGATGTTTTATCTGTGTTGCATGATGAGCTGGTTCTTTCAGTATCAGAATGTAAAATGAACATTTTCAGTCAATAGTAAATACAAAATAAGTATAAATATATTTAGAATTTATTGCAATGGGAACCATAAACCATTTTTTTAATGGACATAAAACACAGATGTTTTAAAACCACAGTAGACAATGAGGAGATCCAGTGCTGCTGTTCCTAGCAGGGAGTGGGAATAGAAGTAGAGAAGGCCTTTTAATGCCTTAATAGGCCAAAAAGTGGAAATAATAACTAAGGCTACCATTATGCAAGCAAAATAGGTCATGTTACCATATTTAACTTAATATTATCTTACCATTGACTTATTAAAAGAAACACTATAATCAAGTGACATCCAAATTATTGACTCATAACTAAAGTTATGTGAAAATCCGAATTCAGGTTTAATTGATTTGCTTCAAATAGTTTGTTAGACATTTAACAGTCAGAACTTAGTTTAAAGCTGATTCACGTTTAGACATTTGTGGTGTTGCAAACCACAATTACAGTAAATACTTATCATTAAGGCATTTTAAATCTTATGTATAATGTCAATAACATATAAATTATTATTTAAAGTTTTGGTGTATAGCTT